TTCAGAAATTTTCTGCCAGGAGCATACTTACATATTCACAAATTGCCTGCTATGGAACATATGCCATTGCAGTAAATTTATTGTAAAGATTTTAGAAATTATTCCTTTTGTATTGTACTATTGTGGTTTAAAGAGAGATGAACCATCTCATTCTGAAGGGACAGGCCCATCCCACCTGCGCTGGCACTGTGGATTCAATCATCCCAAGGAATTTGGGCTGGCAAGCTCCAGGAGAAGCACCTTCTCTGGCATAGCTCCGGCCATCTGAAACATCCTGTCCCCTGAGATGAGATTGGCTCTACTCTTCTGATGTTTCATAAGCCTTAAGACCTGGCTCTGTCAGGTGGCTTGGAGACCCAATGGGGGAGCTTTTTACTGAAAGTGGTTGGCTATTATTAAAATTTAATCCCACCTCCCCACTCTTGTGTGTCCGGCTCCCCCCTTTCCCATCTGGTGTTAGTGGTTTTATCCGTTGTGTTCTATGTTGATTATATATATTTTTAAATGCTTTAATATTTTTATGCTGTAAGTTATCCAGTCATTGAATACAAGATGGGTGCAAATAAATTTCCTAAATAAATAAATAAAATATTCAAAAGTTAATCATGTAAGTTAATATTTTCTCTTTAAATCCTTCTACAGAGAGCGCCCTGTTGAGGACAGTAATGACCACAATTGAGCCCAATATTTATATTGTTAAGTGAAACATTTGTTAAGTGAGTTTTGCCCCATTTTATCATCTTTCTTGCTGATAAGTGAATCACTGCAGTTGATGTTAGTAACATGGTTGTTAAGTGAATCTGTCTTCCCCATTTATTTTGCTTGTCAAAAGATCTCAAAAGATGATCACATGACTTTGGGACACAGCAATGGTCATAAGTATGAACCAGTTGCCAAGCATCTGAATTTTGATCACATGACCATAGGGCTGCTACAAAGGTCATAAGTGTGAAAAATGGTGATAACTCATTTTTCCAGTGTCTTTGTAACGTTGAATGGTCACTAAATGAACTGTTGTAAGTCAAGGACTACATGTAATGATTTGTCAAAGTAGCCAGTATCAGTCCAGGTCCAAAAATACACCAAGTGAAACTAAAGAAATCAATATATTCCTGTTCATTTAACCATGCAATAAGAAGTATTGGTTTTTCTTCCTTCCGATACCCATTTTTTTGGGGTGTTGCAGTTTAGCATTCCTAAAAGATTGTGAAGAAAAAGCTAGGCAATGAAAAGAATAGGAAACATGTACAGTAATAATTTGCAGAAGCGATGAAATCACTGACCCTCCCCTGTTGCTAAATAATGCCTTAAGGCTATCTTATATTTTTGCCCCCTCCATATTGTTAAATTATTCATTGTGAAGAAGTTTAAATGTTACTGCTTTTTAAACTGTGAACAATTCAACTTTAGTTAGGTTGTGGTTTTTGACAACAGTGCCTAAGAATGAATGTTTCAATAAAGGTCATTCAGGAGTATTAGCTTCAGAGCTGTTGATGTGTTGTAATTTGAAGAGTTTATATTGGTTCTCTCAAGCAATATTATTTTAATGGTACAATATAGGGATGCAAATTTGCTTTTGATTTCTAATTATTAGCCATCATTTTTTAAAATATACAAGAACCATAGAAAGCAGCTACAGAAAACTGTAAGGATTTGATAAGTAGGGGGTTTCTGTTAAAAGACTTATTAAATGCTTGATAGTGTAACTCTTTCATTAGAATGGCTGTTAAATTACTCTGAAAGGTTTACTAAATTGGGGAGCATAACTGTAGACATCAGTACAATTATTGTACTGAGAATAGAAATAGGATATTGCTGGGCTATTTTTTGTGGTCATTATAGTTATTTGCTCTAGAGCAGTATGATTTTAAAGGGTTTAATTAATTAATTAACCTATACAATTTAGAGGCTGCTTGACTCCTTAACAACTTTGGGTGGCTTACATATAAAAAGCAAAAAACAGTAAAAGCAAGAGTAGAGATCTTACATGTCCAGCACACAAACCATACACACAAACAACCACCCTATCTAAAGCCTTGGAGGATAGCCAGGTTTTCAGAATGCCATCAGGGTGGGAGTCATATGGATCTTTTGGGGGTTGCTATTGCTACAGACAATGCATTCTTCTTAGGTTCTGATACATGGCATTATTTACCTGAAGCACACCTACTCTGCCAGATTTTGCTGGACGGAAAGAAACTACTAGAAATAGATGTTCCCTCAAACCACCAGTGCTTTATAAGTGGTAACCAGCACCTTGAATTATACTTAGAAACTGGCTGGTGACCAGTGCAGCTCACAGAGAAGTGGTCAGACATAGGCATATTGAGCCATGCCCCTTGCACTTCCACATTCTGGATCAGCTATAATAATGGCTTTCAAGAGCAGCCCCACGCAGATCATATTTGCAACAGTCCATTTGCAAGGTGACTGACTAGGGCATGAGTTTCTGAAGGGTCCCAGTGTAGGGATGAATGCAACCACCCATACCTGCCACAAGCTACTTGAACAGAAGCTGTGAACCCAAGTCAAAGTCCACTTTTTGCAATCGTATCAATTGGGAAAACCCCCACCCCATCTAAGATAGAGAATCCTCAGGACCAGGAATCCCAAATATCTATAGCTAGTCTTGTCAGGATTGAGCCTCAGTCTATTCTTCCCTGTCAACTGCAGTTATTCACTTGCTTAGCAACACAAATTCTGGTCCCAATTGTAGTTATAAGTCAAGGACTATCTCTATACATTGTCACAGTACTTTGCCAACTTGGAGCCAGTTTGTTTTGCCATCTTCTGTCTGTACTGAGGTTTCTGATCTGTTATGTAAGTTTTTTCCTAAGGACAGTTAAATGCTCTGGGATCTTACCTGGGAGAAATATACCAAAATTTGTTATGGGTGTCTGGTTCCATTACAACAATACATGTTTAATTTTGTGCAAACTTATGAACACATGGAATTGTCTTCTGCTGGCTCAAACCATTTGTTCTGACAATTTATTATTGTCTATCCTAACAACAGCCTTCGGTATCTAAAACAAAGAGGTTATCTATCATTTGTTGCCTGATTCTTATAAATGGAGATGCTGATAATGAATCTTCTGCATACAAACCAGGTGTTCATGCCAAGCCATATCTCCTAAGCTGTAGAAATGTGTATGATGGAGCAGAGTATTGTACATGTTGCCATGCGTTGTGAATTTCGTTAGCTATTATTAGAAAGACCCTGCATTCTTGTTCTTAACATTTAGAAAGCATTTATTAATCATTTAAGCAGGTATTTGTGAATTGGGGATGTTATGATTAGATCCCTGAAAGTTCATGATACTATTATTTATTAGGTCTTCATGAATTAATTGAAATCTTTTTTAAATGGCATGTGTTATGTTATGTTACATTATGTTGTTACCGAAATTGAAATCCTTCCTTCTAAGATGCCAAGATCTGTCTATGGTAATTGAAGTGACATAAAAATATCAATATTAATAATTGAATAAAAGCTGCATATGTAATCTTCTGTGTATTTCAAAGTGAAAGGACTCCAGGTTATCAAATTCAAATTCAAAGCCTTTTTGTCATTGTACGTCATGTTTACAATGAAAATGGTTTAGCCTCTACTGGTGCAGTCCATACAAGAATACAAACAACATGAATAATATAAATTATTATAATATAATATATATCACAATATAATATATATTATTATAATATAATATAGATTATTATAATATAAATTATCATAACACAAAGGTATGACTACAGCACTTCTACATAATACTAAGATACTGTGACTAAATAAGAATCTCTGCTGATCCCGTCTTGGCCTTAATGGAAGATTGGGATGAAAATAGGATGATACAGTTTTATAGTTCAAGCAACTGAATGTTACAGATTACATGGTATCTGAATGTTAAATAGCTTTGCAATACATCTACATGGAAGGAAGTATGCAGTGGAGTACCCCAAGGCTCTGTTTTAGGCCCAGTACTCTTCAACATCTTCATCAATGATTTGGATAAGGGAATAAATGGGGAACTCATCAAATTTGCAGATGACACCAAGCTGGCATGAATAGCCAACACTCCAGAAGATAGGCTCAAGATACAGAAGGATCTTGACAAACTTGAACATTGGGCACTATCTAATAAAATGAAATTCAGTGGTGAAAAGAGTAAGGTTCTACATTTAGGCAACAAAACGAAATGCACAGGTACAGTATAGGTGGTACCTTGCTCAACAGTAGTAACTGTGAAAGGGATCTTGGAGTCCTAGTGGACAACCATTTAAATATGAGCCAGTAGTGTTCAGCAGCTGCCAAAAAAGTCAACACAGTTCTAGGCTGCATAAATAGAGGGATCAAGATCACGTGAAGTGTTAATACCACTTTATAATGCCTTGGTAAGGCCACACTTGGAATACTGCATTCAGTTCTGGTCGCCACGATGTAGAAAAGATGTGGAGACTCTGGAAAGAATGCAGAGAAGAGCAACAAAGATGATTAGGGGACTGGAGACTAAAACAAATGAAGAATGGTTGCAGGAACTGGGTATGTTTAGTTTAAGAGAAAGAAGGACTAGGGGAGTCATGACAGCAGTGTTCCAATATCTCAGGGGTTGCCACAAAGAAGAGGGAGTCAAACTATTCTCCAAGGCACCTGAGGGTAGAACAAGAAGCAATGGGTGGAAACTAATCAAGGAGAGAAGCAATTTAGAACTAAGGAGAAATTTCCTGACAGTTAGAACAATTAATCAGTGAAACAGCTTGCCTCCAGAAGTTGTGAATGCCCCAACACTGCAAGTCTTTAAGAAGATGTTGGATAGCCATCTGTCTGAAACAGTATAGAGTTTCCTGCCTAGGCAGGGGGTTGGACTAGAAGACCTCCAAGGTCCCTTCCAACTCTGCTATTGTATTATTGTCTTATTATAATATTGTTTGTAATTTCTTCAAAGAAATATGCAGTATTTTTGATTGTCATGATCATTGCTCTTTCTTTGATTTATTTTTAGCTCTTCTTCAACGAGTAGCTGAACTAGAGAAAGTCAATGCTGAATTTCTACGTACAAAACAGAATCTCGAGCAAGAATTTAATCAAAAGAGAGCCAAGTTTAAAGAACTGTATCTGGCTAAAGAAGGTAATGTTTAATTATTCTAAGTAGATGTAAAAATTCTAACTCTTAACTATTATGGCTAGATAGAAAATTCTTGTTTTTTGAGGGAATGTTGGGTTTGAGAAAATATATGTGAGGATCTTTCCCACATGGAAAAGCAGTATTCTCTGCCTCACAAGATATAAAGACTCTTCACAAATCTTAGGCTTCAAAATTGGTTGAAAAAGTATAGTACATAATTTAGAATGGAATACACATAGTCCTTGACTTATGACCAGTTTTTCAGTGACTGTTTGAAATTACAACAGCACTAAACAAACGGTGGCTATGATCAGACCTCAAAGTTCTGGCTGTTCCAGCACTTTCTATGATTGTGTGATTGCACTCTGGGCACTTAGCACCCTGCATTTATGACCAGTTGCAGCTTCTTTCTGTATAACTTCAATGAACACAAGACTGATGTGAAACAGTGGGTGTCATCTTGAAGAATTTTCAGCGCGTCTGTGGTCCCATCCCAATATGTTTGAGTAGAAGCACCTTGACTAATAAGGAATGTCTATTGATTTTGTATTAACTGGATTATCACAGCCCTTGAGAAGAGACAAAGGATGTCCTTGCATGTCGTGAGAAAAAAAATTAAAAGGTATTAGGCCAGATTCAAGCTTAGATTTTACAGATAATGGCATTAAACCAACTCATGAAATTAGTGGAGAAAGAATTGGCAAGCTCTCGGCCATAGCATTAAATAGTCTGTATAAGGCCTGGGAGAAAGATTAATAACTTGGATTCATAATATGAGTTCATAAATTGAGCAGTCATAATGATAACCATTCCAATGTTTAGTATGTTCAAGATTCTCAAAATTATATTACAAGATTACCCCTTAAGATGTAGGAAATAAAGTAAATGTTTATACTTTTGGGATAGAAGGAACTTTTGGGTAATGAGGGAAATAGAGAACATTTCTAAAGATTCACAGAAACCACTTTTTAATTTTGAAATGGCACCTCTTCCCCTTTGTTGTTTTTTTGAAGGAGCTGCATTGCCTGTCTTCCCACGCCGGTGTCTTTCAGATCTTTTCCCCAAAGATCCTTTTTCAAAAGGCAACTGGACTTCCTTATTTTTTTCCCTTGAAAATGTTTTGCTTCTCATCCAAGAAACTTCTTCAGTTCTGACTGAATGGTGAGGAATAGAAATATTTCTATATTTTGCAGCCATCAGGTCGTTAGCACTCTTAAGGTTGGGTCTATTCAAAGAACAGAAATATTTCTTCCCTGCCATTCAGTCAGAACTGAAGAAGCTTCTTGGATGAGAAGCAAAATGTCTTCAAGGGGGAAAAAAGTCAAGTTGCCTTTTGAAAAAAGCATCTTTGGGACAACCGTGGCCTGGATGGCTGAGAATCTCTATAGACATTCAATTTTTTTGTTTTTTAGTCCCCTTGCCTTCAGAAGTAAAATTCCTCTATATTTTCCCCTAATTTCTGTATTGTGCCCTCCTTGTTTCTCCTAGCAAAGAATAATGGAGGTCAGGGGGCTTAATAGAAGAAAGGGAAATGTGGCATTTGAGTGGTGGCATATTTCTAAAACTTCCATAACAGTAATTTTTGGTTACATTGAGAGTTTCTCTGATTTTTAAAGCCATCCAGAATATGAGGAAGGTCTCAGCAGAAGGCCTCACCCATTGGTTAAAGTAGGCAGGTTGTTTTGGTTCTTATTAATCCATTGGCACATGAGATGTGTAACTATCCAAAACTTCTCCAAAATCTGTTCTTTATCCTTATTTGGAACTGTTCCGGGAAGCAATCTGGAAACTAGAAGACAAATAGTTGATCAAATTGGGTTACTTGTCAGAGAATATGAATAATGAGGACCCGGATTGTTGGGGCAATATGCGGTATATAAGTCTAACTGCTATTGCTATTGCTAATAATATTATTTGGATGAACTTTCAAGAATAGAATATACAAAACAAGATAAAAAAAAACTTTTAAATTTTGATGTCACACAACACAAAAAGATAGAATTTTTTCTATTATTAAGGAGGCTGCAAGGTGTTTTTTATTGTGAACATGTTGTTCAACTGAGTGTGTAGAAGTCTATAACTATAGCTTGGTATGTGGTTAAGGTAGGTTATTTCTAGGGCAATCCAATCTGAAAAGACTCTGTTCAAGAAGAGGCATGGTTTCAAAATTTAAAAAAATGCCCTCCATAACATCCTAAAATGGCTAATTCATGATAAGCATAAAGTCTGCTTTCTGATACTAGGAAGTATGATTCCATAATAAAAAGCAGTTTTAAAACAACAGCATTGATTTCAAACTTCAAGCTTATCATAGAGTTGGAAGGGGAACTGAGAATGAGACATAAATCTAGAGTAGTAAACTGGGTGTAGAATTTATACTGATTTGCTTAGAGCTAATCCAATATTAGCAATAAGTGGGAGGTTTCTCCCCTTGGCTCCAGGAATCACCAAAATAAATAAATGTTTATATAACTATCCCCTATTGTTTTTAAAGAGGATCTGAAGAGGCAAAATGCAGAATTGCAGACAGCACATGATGATCTGGAAAAACTTCAAAACCAGCTCATGGAAGCACAGGCTGAAATGGAGAACATCAAAGCCATTGCTACAGTGTCTGAAAATACTAAGCAGGAAGCTATTGATGACATAAAGAAGCAGTGGCAGGAAGAAGTTGCCTCTCTGCAGGCTATAATGAAAGGTAGGACCAATAAAAATGAATGGATTGTTAGGCCAGTTTCATACTATCCCCGATACATAGCTTGCTATTCCAAACCACTATATAGAAAATCTGCCTACCGTATATACTCAAGTATAAGCCGAGTTTTTCAGCCCACTTTTTGGGCTGAAAAAAGCCGCCTCGGCTTATCCTCGAGTCAGTGAAAATTTTGCCCGAAATGGAGGAGAAAAGGGGGCGGGGCCATGCC